AGTCTGGTGGCATAAAACAATTGCTTGGTTAGGTGTAGAGGGTCTCTAGTCTTTTACTCTACTGCTATCACTCTGTTGCAAATTCTCTGCTTTTTGTTCTCTACTGTTAAGATTTTTTTAAGCACTTCACTAATCTTTGGTTGCGGCTATTTTTGTTTGCTGCTGGTGTCGTGTGATGCTGCTGTTGTTTTGTGGTAAAGGTATGTGTCTAAGGTCTACTAAAAGACTTAGTGAAAGGTTGCTAATCTGGTCTGGTCTGTTCAGAGGATTGGTCTGGTCTATTTTTGGCCTACTGTATGTTGCTGCTGGTCTGTTTGATTGGTCTAATCTGTGTAGGAGGCATATGTGCAGCTAGAGAGGAGTTGAAATTCTGATGCATTGGTTTTTACTCTGTTGATTATGGTTTTGTTGTTTTGTTTTTTGTTCTTCTCATTCCTTTGGTTCCTTTTGATTGGTTTCTCACCAATCTTGGGTCAAGTGCTTGCAAATGAGTGTGCTTCCTTAGCAGTGCCAACCTAGTTGGGATTGTTAAGGTTAGTTTTGATGCTCTTTGCATTTCCCTCTTTGTTGATGTAAACTTTTGCATGTATTGTTTTCTTCATCAATAAAGTTTCATTTTGCTGATCAAAAGAAAATAAAATAAGAGTGGTGCTACATCCCCTAATAATATATCATCTCCATATTGACCTCTAATGAGATGGAAGAGAGAGAATAGAGAGAGATAAAGAGCGGAGAAATGAGGAGTGTGAGTCCCTTTTCATATGGTCATTCCATGTCGCTGTGGATGGATTAGGAATGCTCAATTAGAGCTTTCAAATATTTTTCTTATAATAATAATAAGGAGAAAAGGAAAGAGAAAAACATGGCGCACCATATCTACTTTCATTCTTATGCAATATTTTGTCAAACTTAATAATTTTGGGTTGAAAATCTACCAGTTCTTTGAGAAATATTTTCTAAATAATTTACCAATTTTATATAATTCTACTAACAAATAGATTTGGTAAAAAGTCAATTGAAAATAATTTTAAGCATATGTAGACTGCCTGGAACTCCGCTCCGCGCGCGAGGGAGCGAATCGTTGTTCTTCGCTACTACAGTTCGGACTCGTGTCACGGTTCTGAATCTAATCTCACAAAGTGCAATGTAAGACTGATAAATCACCAAAGAGTCAAAATCCGGCAAATCGTTTTGGAAAATCGATTTTAATCAAAAAGCGCCAAACATGGACTGCTTTGCCAGATTTCAGAGTCGCCACCAAAATATTTTGTTTTGGGAAATTTAGGAAACCCTGACTCGTGCCTAAGGCCACGTGTCCGTCATCACTAAAGTTGTCTCGGCTCGGTAACTTGGGTATGAGTGGGGAAGGTCATGCAATGAGCACCCCCACTCGCCCAATCAAAGGATCAGCCTCTACTAACATGATATGTTATTTTTGAAAACACATGCGTTCTTATCCCGGTTATTACTCTAGAATTACTATGTGATGCGCATAGCATACAAGTATAGACTCAATCACGTGGATTGGAACAAAACAACTCATGTTTGTTTTTTAAAGTGGTTTGAAGTTACTACTCACAAGTAGGCTAAGTCACGGATTTGCCACCCTCAAGTGGGCTTAGAAAAACATGATTTTGCCACCTCAAGTGGGCTTAAAACTCACAATCATCGAGTTATTCCAATCTAGGCAATCAAGCCTTCACCCATAGCATTCATGCAGTTATAGCAGTTAAGCAAATAGCCTCATGGCAAGCATGCTATCATGGCAACATTTACACATATGCAAGATGCTAAAGCATAAACGCTCACAGTGTACTCCGAGCCAAAACAAAAGCTAGTTAGTAATCAATGCATGATCCTAGCTATGTTAACAATGCCTAATGCAACACATGCAAAAATACAGCTACAATAGGCTCGGCTATTCTAAGATGTCATGTGAATGCTACACTTGATACATGTATTCAAATTGGTATTGAAATACAATGCAGTTCGCATGATGCGTCGAGCCCGGTGCGTACAAGACAAATGAATGGATGCAAACATGCAAGCATAAGTATGCTAATTGAAATATGCCCTAAAACTAACCACTGAAAGTAGATAAGTAAAAAGGAGAAAGAAATGGGGGTTGGAAGACATGCATCGCACACACGCACACTTATTACAACAGTTGTGCCCTCTTGACGGAGGGTCCGAATAATAAGCTAACTAGCTAATCTAAGCTAATGAAACTAATTATTACAAAACAAAGCTAATTAACTAACAAGTTAACTAATTAGTACAAAACAAGCTAACTAACTAATTATTACAGACACAAATTGAATAGTTAAGCACATTAACTAATTAAGTACAAAAACCAATGCATTAGCTAGCTTAAGCAAAACAACTAAGTAAAGCAAATAGAAAGGGCCTTGGAGTGAGAAGCGCATGTATGCTCGGTCGCCTCGTTCGAAAATCCATCGCGATGCCCCAACTTGCCTCTGTTGCATTTGTTCTCAGAACACTGTACAAAGCTCTAGATAGCTTTTGCTCCACCATAGAGACCTCTAGGAGCATGGCCAACCACTTGTTGGTGTTGCAAACCACCTGCCTTTGCTGTAGACCAGAAAAAGTGGTCGGCCAGCCACTTTTACTGGTCTGCTGAACAGAAAATGCTGCACTTCTCCAGTTTGCTGCAACAGAGAACAAGAAGGGGCATGGCAATGTATTTGCAATATATGTGTGCACAGCTACCCTCCCTATCATTTCATGATCTCAAGGGAGTGCGGTTCTCGACTCTCGGGCCACCAACCGAGCATCGCAATGCATGATGGCCGAGATGCCAAGATTGCACTATTCAATGTAAATGAATGCACAAATAACACATAAAGCCTTAACCTCTATCATGCATGATCAAGAGGGTCGGCGACCGAGAAATGAGGCACGTTTCATCACTTCAAGTTTGAAACGTCCCTCGTTTCTCATGTTTGGACTAACACCTATCAAAACACAATGCAATGCATGCACATGGAAATACAATGCAATACAATATAAGCATGTCAAGTATAATGTAAACAACATGAGCATGCAACCACATAATGCGATGTAACAAGCATGCAACAACATAATGCAATGCAACAAGCATACAACATACTATTCTACTAATGCTAGGATAGCATGCACAAAATTCCAAACACAATGCAAGGCATGCACACACTATGTAATGCATGCACATGCAAACAACATGGAATGTAACAACATGCGAACAACATGCAAACAAACATGCTCAATGGACTTAAACCGAATATGGACAGACCTCAATCATGCCCACAACAGTGGCCAAAACACTTTGAAATGCTAGCGTGAAAGCAAGAAAATGCATGCACATGCAACGGCTCATCAATTAGGCCTAAGAGGACAACTCTCAAGCATGATCAAGGAGTGACAAATATAATAGTGTAGCCACACTATAAGCACTGAAATATCATGTGAAATGATGTGATGGCATGCAAGAATCCTTAAGCATGAAAGCTAGTGAATGGGACTACACAAGAGGCATGCAATGCATGGCACAAATGGATGAACCAGCCACAAACAGAGCTCAAATAAGTCAAAACCAAGACCAAAACATGCTGGGATAGGAGCTCAAAAGTCTAGGCATGCATGCATACAAGCTAGGCCACAAACAAGGCAACAATGCATGAGCCTTAAAGGCACTCAAAGAGTGAAAAAGTGGGAACATGGCAATGCTATATGCTCTGAAATAACATGGTAGATGATGCCAAATCATACACATGTCACAAATGAAGCATGCTATGGTCCCAGAGCATGTCAAAATGATGCTAAAACATGTATGGACCAGAGCCAAAACAAGCTAGCATGAAGGCATGAAGCATGGAATATGCGGGGCCAATATGGAAGATTACACTACACCTACCAAAACCAAGTGTAAATGTGCCCGAACGTCCCAGGAAAATCCCGTTTTGTTCATTAGCATACTACAGTTTGGACTCAAATGTCACGGTTCTTAATCTGATCTCACAATGTGCAATGTGAGATTGATAAATCACCAAAGAGTCCAAATCTGGCAAATCGTTTTGGAAAACTGATTTGTGTAAAGAAGTGCCAAACATGGACTACTTTGCCAGATACAGAGTCGCCACCTAAATGTTTTGTTTTGGAGAAATTTAGGAAACCCTAACTCGTGCCTAAGACCACGTGTCCGTCATCACCAAAGTTGCCTCGGCTCGGGAACTTGGGTATGAGAGGGGAAGGTCATGCAATGAGCACCCCCGCTCGCCCGATCAAAGATCGGCCTTTACTAACATGATATCTTGTTTTTGAAAGCACATGTGTTCTTATTCCGGTTATTAGCCTAGAATTACTATGTGATGCACACAACACACAAGTATAGACTAGATCGCCTAAGTTGGAACAAATCATCTCATGTTTGTTTGTTTGAAAAGGGTTGAAGGTGCTACCCGCAAGTAGGCTAAGACGTGAATCTTTCCATCCTCAAGTGGGCTTAGAAAACATGATTTTGCCACAATCGAGTGGGCCTAAAACTCGCATTTCAATGAATTATTCTAATTCAAGTAATCTAACCTTCACCCATAGGCATTCAGGCAGTTATATCATATAAGCAGTTAGCCTCATGGCAAGCATGCGGTCATGTTAACACTCACACTCATGCAAGATGCTAAAGCATAAAAGCTTACCTCGTACTCCAAGCCAAAACAATAGCTAGTTAGTAATCAATGCATGATCCTAGCTATGTTAAGATGGCTAATGCAACACATGCAAAATGCAACTAGAAATAGGCTCGACTATCTAAGAATGGCATGTGAAATGCGACAACTTGATACACGTATTCAAGTTGGAATTGAAATACTATGTGGTTAGTATGATGCGCCGAGCCCGGTGCATGCAATACAGATGAATGATGCAAACATGCGAGCGTAAGGATGCTAATTGAAACATGACCTAAAACTAACCATTGAAAACAGGTAAGTAAAAGGGAGAAAAACGTGGGGTTGGAAGACATTCACACACTCACGCACACTTATTACAAAATTTGCCCTCTCGACGGAGGGTTCGAATAAATAATACAAATCAACTGATTAATCTGGGCTTCTATGTTGTTGTTACCTCTCTCTCTCTAGGTCTTTCTACAGATTTTTTAGAGAGAGGGATAATTCATCGGGTGGGTAATCTGGCTTTAAGGAGCTCCGGTTGTGGGTGGCACCATGGCTGTTTGCTCCAAGGATTTGGTATGGTGTGTGCCGCTGGTGGTGTTGTGTCATCGACGGTGCTAGGTTGTGTTGATTAATAGCTTCCAGTTTCATCAATGTTTTGATGGAGCTTTGTATTGAAGATAACGGCGAGGTTAGCCGTAGATTAGTGGCGAGTAGGCGTTGCCATCGCGACTATGTTGAACATGAGAAAGATGTTCGCTGTTGTGTGTTTTCAATCTCATGCGATCTGAGCTTTGTATATCCAGGTGTACGGGTGGCTATTTCGTCAAATTGTAGCTGCTGTAGCTCCAGCTTAGTTTCCGAAGGGTAGTCATGGGGTTTATGTGTCATTTTATGTTGATGATTGCTACGGTGCCAGCATGGAATTTTTGCTTCGGCGCCGGTGTAACCAAGCCGTGAGCTGTGCGTATGGAAGAAGAAGTAGTGGTGTAGACGCGTCTAGTTGTGGTTGGGCGTAATTACGTGAGTGGGGTGTGTTTTGGGGCAGAGGGACACACGTGCAGTGTGCTGATGTTGCCGTGTGCAGATTCATTTGGTTGGCATGAGTGTAAGTGGTATATATAAATATATTATCAACAATGATTCATCCCACTAAAAACATCACCACTAATAACACTAATGCATTAAAAAAGTAAAAAAAAAAAAAATACAACTCCAAGACCAAAACATCACATCATTAATGGCGGGACCCACTGCCACCTAATTAGTGGGAGCACTAATTAGTGCTCCCAAGCATTTTTCATATATTATATATACTTTTTGTATTATTGGGAGTACCATGTGGGGCCAGCCATGTTATTGTCTTGAATTTCAAAAACCAGGTTCCATGGCCCATGGTTTTCAATTGAGCAGGTTGTGGTATTACCATCACATGCAATGTTAGTTCTATTGGGTCCCACCTACGGTTTTTTTATTATATGTGTTGCATGTTATAAACAGACTGGTTGGTGACTCAAAGTTCACATGGGTCTTAGTCATTGTGGGCCCACGTTGCTTAACATGGTTTACATGGGCTGATTTTTTAAATCCGACCATATGCGTGAAGATAAAAAAGGACGGCAAATTGGTTTTTATGAAGACATTGTGTTGGGCCCATTTGGACTTCATGGTTATTTTATTAAATGGGTTACTATTCTATGGTTTATGGGTTAATTCTTGGGCTCGTAGTATATTGGTTTTTTTGGGGTTGGGTCTTAATTTTATTGGTGAGCCCATATATTTTTGATTAGCCACAATGCAACAGATCTTTTGTAGTCGGTTATTTCATGATGATTGATTGTGTGATCCTCATGTGACTCGATATGAGGGTGGTTTTGAGCCATCTCCGCCAAGAGTGATTGGGGAGTCACTACTATGGGGAATAGTGGTTCGATAACCAGCCGAGTTAGAGACTGGGAGATAAGCGGGAGGATAGCTACCGGTTTTCTGGTCGCTTCTTGTCTTCATGTGACCCATCCTAAATTGATTGTATTGCCACGCCTGTCATGGAGTGAAGGGGACACTGCTGTGGGGTTTGAGGCTTGTGATCTACCAGGGAAAAGACTGGGGGATGTGATGATTGCTCTCATGTTTTGTTGGCTATGTATTGGTTTGTTGCAGCGGGGCTATTGTTTTTTTTTCACTAAACTTCTCAAGACCGTTGATTATGGTGATTTACTATGCAGGCTTCATGTGACTCAGCCAGGATCTTTCATGGGATAGATATTTTCCTTCGTCATGGCTTTGGTTGAGTGGCTAGGATGTCACGGCTATGAGAAGCGAGATGCTTATTGGATTCCATGCTTTCATCCGAGGTAGAGACTGGGAGCAAGCGGGGGCAGTTATTATTTTTCGATTGGTTTTGTTGGGTGTTTAGTTAGTTACATTTGTATTGTGTGTTTGTTTGTTATGTTTTATGAGTCTGTGGTGTGTTTTGTTTATTTGCCCATATATCCCACCCAAGTTTCCATCTATTATCTTTGATGGTAGGGGTTACTTAGGGACAAAAAGGATATATGGGCAAAGTGGGGTTCTGTTTTTTTCTGTTGTTCTTTCGCTTTTGCGAGTGTGGTTTTATGTTGAACGATGTCCAGTGGTAGTTTTGTGGTGTTTTTTGTTCTTCTATTATTTGTTGTTGGGCGTACCTGGGGTATGCCCCTTGTAAACTTGTACATTTTATTGTCTTTATTTTATGACTTACTTACCCCAAAAAAAAAACTCTTAACTAATTAAACAAATTAATTAAGCTATGAAGACTAGGAAAGCTGTAACAACCCTCACCTTACTCTTGTCATACTTGCATACATGCCTGCATGATCTTGCCTTCTTATGTTAATTGGAAGGATTTGCTTATCTTGTTTTGTTTGTATTGCTTGCGTAGTTTTGTTCCTTGTTCGGTGTGTGTGTGTGGCCGAAGTCATCTTGAGCTTAGGTTGCCTCTGAACCTTTGTGCTTAGAACTGTTTTGAGACCTTGGTCGACCCCCGTCTTCACCTCGGGCTTGTTGCCGAGATGTTTTTGCACTTGCTGAACCTTGTCCTTGGGCAGGTATGGCCTAGGCCGAGATGTGGCACACCCCGGCCAAGGTGTGGCACAGCTTAGTCAAGCGTTGTCCTCCCTAGCCGATGTTTTTGTTATCCTGTTGCCGGATCCTTGATTTGAGCCGATGTCATTTCTTGCCGATGTGTCTTACCCGAGCTTGCTGCATACGCTTTGTTAGAGACTTGTCTTATCAATCAATCACCTTTTTGAGCTGAACCAACCCGATAGCGCCACGTGTCCGAGCTGACTGTTAAGACAGCCGGCAGACCTTGAAACAAATCATTTTCTTGTCTCAAACCTTTGTTTTAGAGAGAGAAGCTCTAGAGAGGAGGAAGAGAAGTTCTTGAGTGAGAGTAAGTCTTCCAAGCTTGATCTTCGTGGTTTGAACCGTTGGATTCGAGTTTTGAGGTTAGAACCTTGATCTACTTTGGTTGTTGTTGCTGATCATCTAGCTGCATTACATGATCGAATCTGTTTTGCATATCATGCATCGATTTGAAGTTGGTTTTGGAAAGAGAAAATGGTTTTCATGTGTTCTTGAAGAAAAGTCTCGTTTTGATCCGAAAGTTTGGAACGAAAATCATGTTTTTGTGTCTTATTCTTGCATGGCTTCTTGTTGGTACCCAGGTCCCTGTTTTGAACTCTAGCATGAAACCTCAGATTTTGTAACAGTTTTGAACTTTCATTCATCTTCCTCGTCACCCATGTTCATCATGTTCTCAGTGTGCTTCAAGGGAAACCAGTTTTTCGACTTTGTCTTTTGTATAGGCCAACGGCGACCACACTCTCGCGCAAGGATGTTGGGACCTCGGGCAAAGAACCTGGATGGTACCTTGTGTTTTCATGAAACTGGGAGCAGATATTTTAAACTCCCCAGCTTGTTTTGCGTTTGTTATTATTGGATCTGTTGCAGAATGCAGATCATTTGCATGTATAGAGCTTGCTTTGAGAATGTGACTTGCCATGTGATTGTAGGACCTTGATCCTTGCTTTGAGTCTACACCTGAAGAACTAGGTGAGTGGTATTATTGATAAAGCTATGTTATACTTGTTTTGATAAATCTTGCTTGCTTTGTTTTGACAAAAGTGTTTTGTTAAGCATGAATGAATAGCTCTTGTTTTGATGTGTCAGTATACTCCTTGTTTTGATGCCATCTTTGAAAAGGATACGGTCCTCTTGGAAAGTCCCTTATGCTGGAGGACTCTAAACTTTCGCAGTACTAAGTATAAAAGGATACGGTCCTTGTTAAATCGGGCTACGGGCCTAAGTAACACCAGTTTTGCTATGTTAAATCGGGCTACGGGCCTAAGTAACACAAGTCCCTTGTACTGGAGGACTCTAAACTTTCGCGGTACCAAGTGCACAAGTCCCTTGTACTGAAGGACTCTAAACTTTCGCAGTACTAAGTGTAAAAGGATACGGTCCTTTCTTGAAAAGATTTCTATGTTAAATCGGGCTACGGGCCTAAGTAACACCAGTCCCTTGTGCTGAAGGACTATAAACTTTCGCAGTACCTTTGACTAAACGATAACAGATCGTACAGCCCTTGATACTTGTAATACTTCATTGATGAATACGGTTCATCCCTTGCTTCGCCGATGTTGTAATATTTGAATGATGAATACAGTTCATCCCTTGTTCCGCCGATGTCAGTAAGCATCCCTTGAGACTTGTGATATTTGAATGATGAATACGGTTCATCCTTTGTTTTGCCGATGTCAGTAAGCATCTTTGGATACTTGTAATATTTGATTGATGAATACGGTTCATCCCTCGTCTTGATAAAGTTTGATGTGTTTCGTTTTGAAGGACCTCGGCTATATTCATGCAAAACCTTTATTATTAGTACCATTCACTGAGTATTCAGACTCACCCTCTCTATATATATGTAGGTGATGAGCAGGACGTCGGCGACGCCTAGACTATTTTGAAAGCTTGTTTTGGACTCTTGATTATGTCGGCTTTGTTTGTATTTATGTCGGCAATTCTTGAAAATCATGCTTCTTGGCTCGTATTAACTGTATTTTTGTATATGTCGGCTCGAGAAGCCTTTTGATCAAGATGTAATACGTATTTTACTTTGTTGTATTCAAGTTGTAAAGTTAATTGGAAATGTTTGGCATTGCATTTGATCTACGCACAGCTCTTATGGACTACTCGTATTTTAGATTATTTGGTTCCGCATTTGTGAGCCCCGATTATTATACTCTGATTGTGTTAAGTTTTTGAAAGTTGGCCTTCGGTAATTACGGATTACTGGCCATCATGGCACCGAACTACTAGGGGTGGTTTGGGGTCGTGACAAAAGCAGCCTCGGGAAGAGGGATGAATGCATGCTCGGTCGCCTCGCTCGGAAACACGTTGCCATGCCACATGTTGCCTCTGTTTTCACTGTTCTGCACCTCTGAAAACTACACAAGTCCCAAGGATGCTTCTGAACCACTCCCTGAGCACTTTGAGATGTCACCGGCCAAAATATAGGAACGACGGCCATGTGGGATTGGTCATTGACCATTTGTGAGGATCTTGGCCAACAATTTTTAGTCGATTGGCACTGAAGATGGCCGGCCGGCCATATCTTCCTGCAGAATGCTGTTTTGCTGCAGCAGAGGACAAACAGAGCATGGCAATGCATTTTCAAGACAATGTGTGCACAAACACCCTCCCTATCATGTCATGAGCTCAAGGGAGTGTAGTGCTCAACCCTCGGGCCATCAACCACGCATGTCGATGCATGATGGCCAAAGGAGCCACATGTGCGATTCAATATGGAATGAAGGCACAAAAATAGATGAATGCCTAGAACTCTATCATGTTGGATCAAGAGTGTCGGCGACCAAGGATTGAGGCACGTTTCATCACTTCAAGTACGAACGTCCCTCGGTCCTCGTGTTTGGTTCAACACCCAAACCAAACAATGCAATGCAAGTATGCCAAATATAATGCAATCATGGAAATGCGATGCAATGCAACATGAGCACGCCAAAGGCAATACAACGCAACCTAACATGTAAACAACATGGCATGCAACAAGTATGCAACAATACTATGTACCCTAAACAAGCAAATGTGCAATGTACGAAGCATGCAAAATGCAATGTACCAAGTATGCAATAACGACAAAATGGAGCAAGCATGCAACAATATGCAAGGATCATGCATGATGGACTTAAACTGAAATGGGCAGACCTCAGCCATGCCCAAATCAGTGGCCAAAACACTAAAACTAAGGCACTAACATGCAAAACAAACATGTACACATATTGGTCCATCACTTACGCACAAAGAGGACAACTCTCGAAAGCACTCAATACTACATGCTCTGAAATGATGTCAAGAATGATGACAAATCATACACACAAGTCAAGCATAACATGTAAGAAAGCTCAAGGCTTAAGGCTAGCCAAGGAGCTTGTACTAAGGCCACATGAAAAAAGCTCCAAAGAGCCAAGGACAACCAAAACAATCCTAGATCATGCTGAAGGGAGTCTAAAATATGCAAGGGCCAAAACTAAAACAAGCCAAAATGAAGGGCAGAAGGCAAGATGCAAGTAAGGCCAACAAAGGGGATTACACTACACCCATTATAACCAAACATGGCATGACTTAACCAATAAAAAACAGAGATATGGCATGTCAAAATAGGCCCAAAAACCCACTTAGAAGGCATCCCGAAGACCTAATCATGGAGGCATGCACAATGACCCAACCTTAAGGCATAAGACACCAACTCTTCAAAGCTTTGAAAAGATGGAAAATGCAAGTATATGTGCATGAAACGTGGACTGAAATAACATATGAGATGATGCCAAATTATGACAAAGGGTCCAAGTAGTGCATGCTAATGACTTGGACCCTCAAAGCTAACAAGCTAGAATGTATGGTAGCTATGCAAAGTAATGCATATATGATCAAAAAAAACATGAAACAAAGCTTTAACATGCTGAAATATGAACAAAAGCTACTTTGGGTCGAGTCAAAATCATGCTAAAACCATAGCTTAAAGCACAAAGCATGTTAAGGCAATAGAGAGGATTACAAGGCAAGTATATGGTGTATGCAAGAAACCACTAAACCAACCTTAGACAGAGGTATAACATGACAAAATAACACCAAATACTTGCTGAAATGAAGCCAAAACATGTTAAGCAAACATGCTACCATTACAAGCCATTATCATAAGCAAAAGAGACACAAGGAGAGAGGGGTGTCCCTCTCCTATACAAGACTCTAAAACCACCTTTGCAACACTGAAAATCCTCTAGATTTCAGTGGTAGAAAGGTCAAACCAAAGCAAGAACAAAGGCCAAAAAAAGTGGCTCCTAACAAGGCCAAACAAGGCCTAAGAGGGGTAGACAACCCCCAACCAAAAAATGACCTTAAACAATCATCTTAAACACACAAAAATAGAACTTTTCTCAGTTTATAGTTAAGCTTAAAACAATATGCAAATAGGTCTAAAAGCTTAAGCCACAATGGGGAAACAAAATGTTAGTTGCTCACCCTTGAAGAACACCTTTAAGAACACAACTCCAACCAGTCCCTTGGATCAAAACCAGCCCAACAACTCTGAAACCAACTCCCTAGTGCCTCAGCAACCAAAGGAAGGTGATCTACTAAGTGCTATAGTGCAAAAGTATGAACAAAATACACTTTTAAGGCACC